AGATTCTAAGACGTATAAGTAGACAAACTCAGCTAGTTCAAGCCATTTTCTATTATAACACTAACATTGAAGAAGATTATGCTAATTAAGAAAGCTATTCGATAGATTGCTAGGAAGCTTGACTTAGTTTATCTGCCGACATGCTATGTTGTCCTTATTGGACTAAAAACGGAAGAAAAAGAAAAAAGAAAAAAAAACAACAAGAAAGAGGAAAAGAAAAATGAAACAGACCAAATGGATTTCGAATGAAAGAGAAAATATAATTGGACAACAGAGATACTACCTTTTGAAGTAGTAAGGGCATAGTAATGTGATCCGCATGGTGAGAAGCTTAATACACACAGATAATGAAAGAAAAATTTTGTTTGCAAAGAGAATGAGTAAAAATAATATTTCTTTTTGTTAGTTTTCAGGTTAATTCAAAATCTCAAACAAGTTTTGGGCATGACGGATGTGATACACACACATACAGTCAGAGTTGTGAGATGAGTAAAAACAAAACCAGTTAAAATTCATTTGGTTCAGGTTGGCAATTAAAACAAATTGAGTGTTGTAACATTTCATATTTTTGAGAAAGTTTTTAATTTTGATTTGCATCCGTACAATCCTTTACAATCGGTCGGTATCTCATTCAGTCATCACACAGACATGGTTGGTTATCCTTTCATTGATATCTCTAGTAGACAGTCGAGTACTGTCAACGATATCATAAAGTAAGTAAGTAAGTCATTCGCGATGAGTATTAAAAACATATAAAAATGGATTTTATTTTTATTCTCATCAGATACATCTTCATTGTAATCGCCGAAGGTACAGGATTATTCTTTTCATTTCCATATTTGAGTCTTTTGAAATGATTATTCGAGAGACTGGTGTCTAGTCATACGAACTGGCGATGATGTGCCGACTGTATCAGCAGAGCTTCTCCGAAACCATTTTCTGCACTCAGACACTCTCACTGAAAATAACGAATAGACACACTTGACAACTTTCTTACCCACACAGCCTTTAATGGCGATAGACTTAGTGCGAATATGGAAGTCTTCCATACGATGAAGACTTCATGAACACCAGTAAGTAGTGTGAAGGGAAAGGAATAATTTCAGTGTTGTCGTAAGACTCGTTTCACTTCAGCATAACCTCCCTCCAATAAGTTAGAAAGTGCAGCGCGTTACTTTTCCATTTCAATCTTTTCATGCATGTGAGTGGCCGTTCACAGCACGACCGCTATGTGAGCAGAAAAGTGAAGAATGTGAATCAATGAAGGAAACTTTCTTTTCTACCGAGAGTGAGGGAGAGGGAATTAAGAGTGGGGGAGGCGTATGTCTACTTACCGGAAAGGCGGAAGGAGAGCTTTCTCGAATTTGCATGTGATGATCAATTGAATTAAAAATTAACCATAATAAAACGAACTTTCTGTATAACTTCTTAAATATTAATTTTACAATGTTAATGAAGATGTTGAAAATGTTTATATCCGTTTCATACGTCCTAAGAGGGTATTGGAGGTTAACGAAAGCTCATTAAACTGTCAACGGTTGAAATGAAATGACTTGTCTTCAACTAATTGTGGGGAGGTTCAAGAAATGTTCTTCTAAAATGAAATATTTTCGTTTTGTGCAAGCCCATTAAAGAAGTTTAGTTTGAATGGAATAAAAATAAAACAAAACTGAATTACAAGCGCTTACATATTTTCATGCTCATTTAACAGAATTTTTCGCTCGAAAGCACAATAAGCTTGCGAGATCACCCCAAAAGGTTGTTCAAATCATTTCCATTAGTAAAAACGGTCTCTATTCATCCACAAATGCATACATATTCATCTGTTACAATTGATTTTGCTTTTCTCTTTCTCTCACTCTTTACTTCTTATAGTTTTGTTGTTTTGGTATTGCATCGTTGAGCAGTTGTGTCTGTATGATCATTCTGATGTCATTCTCTCAACTCACTTGGCTACACGCTGCTGATATAGCTTAGTCTGACTAACTGCTAATGCGACCATTGCTGTTCTCTACACGGACAGAGAGTATGTAGTCATGCCGTGCAAGTTCAAATTTAATTTTCAAAACAAAAATAGCGTTTTAAGCTTCGCAAAATAAAAGACATTTGCTTGTTTGAAATTATGTCAGTTTTTATGACATAATTTTCTTAAGCACTTAAAAGCATCGTAAAGACATAACTGTGAAGCTTCTATTGAAGCTTTTACATCAGCATCATCCCTTATATTATTATTTGTGAGCTTTTTTATTCTTTTTTTTGGTAATTTTCATAAATTTCTTATTTTTTCTTATACTCCCTCCTCTCCTCCCTTCTTTCTATCTTTAAACCAACTTCCCCTTTCCCCCCCCCCCCCTCCACCATCTACTGTTCAACCTTCTTTTCTCTCTAACCTATTCCCTCCCATTCTTTTTGCTCTCCCATTTTACAATATTTATTTATATTTATCGAAAAAAGAAATGTTTGTATACGATATTAGTAGGATTTTGGATAATGAGAGAGTTTGTAAAGACGACCATCAGTTCATTATGTCCATTTGAAGGCAATGAAATCAAGCTGCGAAGAAGACAGATGAAGAACTCAAAATGAAGAGAACGTCAAAAGTATAGAAGGCCTTTCTGCCATCCAAGCTGTTATGTAGAAGGAAAGAAAGTTTTTTTTCTTTCTTTTCTTCTTTTTTTTTATTTTTTCGTGTGAGATTTAGAATACGTTTTTTTCTGTTCTGTAAAACCTTAGAACACTTCTTTACTTTAAATGTTCCATAGAGTCTTAGAGGGAGAGAAGGAGGGAGAGTGAATGAATAGGAATGTAAAGGAAGGAGGTAGTCAAGAAGACATTTAAATCCCTTTTCTTCATATTATGGATTCTTGACAAAGCTTTCAAAATAGATTGCTTTTACTCTTTTCACTTTCAATCATCAGCAAACTTTCCATATATGTTTATTTTATTATTTTATTTTTTTTATATAAACAAAAATTTTTTAATTGAAATCATGTCATCGTTGTCGTCGTTCATCCGTCGTCGACAGAAGAGGCCGCCAAAAATATTTGAAATTCGGATAGTATTTGACATATTCTTTGTTTCAATGCTATGTCCGGAAACACGCAATCGAAGACGATACTCTCACACAAATCTTCAATTACATTCAGCTTTCATTTATATTATTTTTAAAAATTAGCTATAAAGACAATAGTGTACGAGCTGGCAGCTACATGATGCGCGCACGACACATGGCCGTCCAGTCTGTCCATCGTCTGTTTCTTCGTCTTCCTTTTTTGTATTTCTTCTTCTTCTATTCATGTTTTGCTTCATCTTTCATCTCTTCACTCAATTTCAGTTTCATATTTCAAACAGTAATTATAGCATTCAGTCTCCAAATATTTGAAGAATTAAATGAAAAAATTTGTTCGTATGAATTAAAAGCCTTCCAAGACCTCCAATTTCGTCTGTCGTGGGCTGAAGCATGTAAGGAGGACTGAGAGTTCATTGCTAATTTTCATCTAAAAACACTCCATTTTCAATGTTGTCAATGTTTAGAACGGTTGTTTTTGCATATCTATGCCTCGAAATTATCTTTTTCCTTCTTCCAATTCTTGTTGTTCTCAGAATTTTAATACAAAATCAAGCTGACCATCAATCAAATGTCCTTTGAGAAATGAGTAAACAAATAAAAATTTGCTGTCCCTCATTCTCTCTCTCTGAGGTCTTTTTTTGTATCTCACTCTCTCTTTCTCTCTCTATCCATGTAATTTCGAACGATATCCAAAAAGAGTCATTTTATAACTGAAATATTTAATTTATGCTCTGTTTTCTTTCTAAATTATAAGAAAATGACTGAAGCTCACTCCAACCACTAGAAAAACCGTTATGTGGTGGAAGCTGTGTGATGCTTCTTTTGTTTTGTTTTTATTTTCCTCCAAAACTTTTTGCAATTTTTATTAAGAAACTTTAGCTACTTTTTTCTTTCTTTTCTGCAGCTTACGAAGATGATTAAACTACTGTGCGAAAGTGAGAAGACCTTCTAAGCTTTTTTTCAATCACCTCACTCGATTTGATGTTGTAATACTGATTGGTCAACAGCCTTCTACCATTTATCATTCCGTCTTTGCGGAAGTTGGAAACTATTTAATTTCTTTTTTGTTTCTTTATGATTTTCATTAACCAACTTATAAAGACGCCGTTGATCATATAACACTGAAAGAACAAAAAAAAGTTTTTTCATTCACATCTTCCATATGAGAGCGCTCATTGCCTAGTTCAATATGACTATCAATATGAATAACTTCCATCACTCATCTATCAGTTTTATTATTGACTTTATTTGGATATTCGACTCATATTGGTATGATCAGATTTATTTCCATTTTCATCACCTTCTACCTATCTATCCGTTTCTCAATCAAATCTTGGGTCTGTTTGGCTTTTGTCTAGTATGACAGTTGGCAGCTGTAAGTAAAAGAAATGTTTGTCCCCCCACCCTTACCCCTCCCTTCTTTCCCTCCCGATCTCTCCTCTGAAGTCATTCTTCCCTCTGTTGCTGCTTTTTAACCTAGACGACCTTCTTGTCAACTGTCTTCTCTTAGGCTTTTTATGTTTAAGCTAAGGTTTTATACTCAATCGAGCATCTATTCTCTAATTGTAATTCACATTCTACGATTCTATAGAAGTGTTCTGTTGATCATCTGATTGTTTACAACCATTTTGAAACCATTTTGGTATTCGTTGCATGTACCTCATCAACTCTGTTGATCTCCTAAAAAACTTTTTTTCATTATTTTGTTTTCTTATTTTTGTGCTCGTAGGCAATGGCTATAAGAAAGCAAAATGATGGCCTGAGATAGAGTGAGAGAGGGAGAGAGAGAGAGAGTGAAGAGTTGAGAAACAGAAGTAAATTTAACCGAAAACATTATGTTCGTGATAACCTTGTCATTATCTTTGTTGAGTAGAACCTTGTTGATTATTTCTCTATTTCAGATGTTCAAACATATCATAAACCTCTAGAAATGAATTATTTTTTTCTCATATCTCTGCTTCAAATCATTTTTCAATTTGTAACAGCAGAGGGACACTGCTATTCATGTTCTGGTACATGTCATAATGAACATTGTAACTGTCAGGTATGAACTTTCATTTTTTCTTCTTTCTTTTTATTTTTTCTTTAAAACACAAATGTTTCTATTGGCAAAAGGGTGAAAGGTCGAATTTGCTCATTTTGCTTGTCGCTCAGATGATGAGAGCCAATAATGATAGTCGTTTGATGCATAGCTAGTTATATTGGAACATCTTTCATGCCCAAAAATATTCAGCTTCTTCTCTTTGCTTCTTGATATGGAGTAGGGAAAGCTGAAAGGGCATGTTAAATATTCTAAACTCTCCAAATAGTATTGAAAAATAGATTTATTAGAGAAGAGAAGGATGAGAAGGAGATAGAGCGGAAGACAGATAATGTGGGGTCATACTCTTCCAATTATAAGGACTAAAAAATTAGATGTTGTTGTATGTCTCATTTAAATCAATGAATGTAATAGGAAGTGCAGTACATGCTTACATAACGTCGACAATTCCGTTTGTTCCGGCAAACCCCATTTGCACACCAACAGAGAAATTCTCTTTATCGAAATTCGTGACTGAGATTGCTATTACAATTGATGAATTCTGCAATGAAAAGACAATTTTCAATCTGCTCTACATATAACCATCTTGCCACCCAGTTGAAGCGTTTGTTAGAGGTACACGTGCAACAGTGAGCACTGATCTTAACTCATTTTTTGATAAAAAACGAACTTGACAACTGCCTGCCTAAGAAATCCTAAACCAAATTTTCGCAATTTGCGGAATGATAGTCATTTGAGTCATAATTTAGATGGGCTCATGCTCCTCCAATCAATGCTTCATTGAAAAGAAACCAACAGAAGAAAAAGGAGTTTTCAGGATAACAAAAGGTATACAGTGTCTGCAAGGTGTTTTACAATTTGATTAAGGTTGCCTGAGGCGTTCACCTCGTACATTCCTGGGATGTGAATATGATAACTTCTCAGATCATATTCTTTGTGTATGCACGGGTAGGTTCTGTTTATTTCAAGCCTTTGAGTAATTCAACCTATTCAGGAAATTTTTGTAATAATAATATTTATGTTCGACCTATTAAACAGCGCGAAGTAACATGTCGAAGGTGTTCTGATAAAGACCCTGAGTGTAGTGACACCTGCCAGGGACAATGGTTTGTTTTCCGCAATCTCTTGTTTTCATTTTTTTCCTCGGAAATGTGATAAAATTATATGATACTTCAACTTCTATCGTTTCCGCTCATCGGTGTTGTTCAGGTGTCATGAAGACACAGCTTCCGGAGCTGCTGGCTGTGGTTATGGTCCACCAGCGTTGCCATTCTTTCACAAAGGTCCTGAACTGATTCCATATAGAAACAAACTGTGTGTAACAATGTCCAGGTACATTGGAATGTGTTTGAAGTGTCATATTTATAATTTTAAGAGGGGCTGGAAAGCCGCGAAGACATTGTATATGCGCTTCTAATATGTGCAATGCGTATATTAAGCCGACATATGGAATAACATTGAGTAGAGATGGATTGCTAAGATCAAGATCTTTAGGGTATAAAGTTTTTCCAGTTTTTCTACAATAACGGGATAATGTTTTTAGTTCTGATATCTTGCCCTTATATAGTTGTGTGAACTGCGAAATAAATTCACAAGATACATCAGTGACATCATCATGCAAGCAGAGTAAATGCATCGGTTTGGAAATGGGTTATATAAACAACATATAATATTCTCTTGTTAAGGCCATTTTTGCACATATACGGCTCAAAGACACTACCTCAACTCACCAAATCGAGGATCATCTTTCCAGTCGATGTCTGAAAAACAAGGCTGTATCAATGTTACGGATTCTTCAATGGTTCGTTCATAAGCTGAAGAATAGATGAAATGAATCTAATATACTTAAGGTTCACAAAGGATGCTCGCGCAAATGGATGCAGAACGAATATGAAGAAGTGATGTGTGCTTGTGAAGGAGACAACTGTAATCGGGATGAATTCACTGCCATCGCTGACAATAATTTAAAATTTCTCACTTTGTTCATTCCTTTCATGATTTTGTACTTTTTCTAAAATCTTGGACATTTTCCAGGAATCTCAGCAGCTCAACTTCTTGTTTTTGTTTATTACAAGCTATTTCCTCATACATATCTTCTTGTTAATTGGGTATAAAACAAGCTGTTAAAAATTTTGAAATCAATTATTCAGAACAGTTTGAAACGGAAATCCTCATTCGCTGTTTAAAAATAAATTTTTCTTTGATTATGTCTTGTCGTTGCGACGTGAAGTTCTCAGAAGCTTAATGGGAGCTTAAACGCCGAGAAAATTTCTTATTTCATGTAAAAATGTAATTTTGGTTATTCTGTGAGAAAAGCTGACCGATAAGAAAGCTGAATCAATCATTTATTTTGGGAAAAGAGTGAAACTCAGTGAGAAAACGAAAATCATCATTATCCGAGACCCAGGTACATTACGGGACTCAAAGGACGCGTCCGATATTGACGAAGAAGCTGGAAAATTCAACTTTGAAATGTCCTAATGAAGGAGAACTTACATCATTGGGTGTCAACTCTTCTCCCAAGCGACGGAAACGGAAATACTGAGGAGGCTTCAGATAAGCCGACGAAACAACGATTATCATGAAGAAGCAAACCAGTACGCCCATGAACTTCATTTTTCGTTTTTCACGGAAGTTCAAGTAGGACTTCTGGAGAAAGAACTGTCTCGGAACAATGAAGAAGTTATAAAGGAACACAACCGCTCACCAAACAAAAACATGAAAAATGAAAAAAAATACCGACCGCTCCTCAGCGTCAACTGAGTGAGAAAATGAAAAATTAAGAAAAGATGCTAAAATGCTCATTGAAGAGAGCAGCCTATGTGGAGGCTTTGAAGGCGGAGACTGGTGGTC